CTTTTTTCTTTTTGCTTATGTGGTGCTGAGGAATCGAACCCAGGGCCTCAGGCATGCAAGGCAAGCGCTCTTCCACTGAGCCACCTTCCCAGCCCCACAAAATGTTTTTTTTTATATATATAAATTTTCCTTTAGTAAAATTGGTTGATTAAAATTTAGTAAAAGAGGCTAGGAATGTGGCTTGGTAGAGTGCTTGCCTCGCTTACAAGAAGCCCTGTGTTCGATTCCTCAGTACCACATAAACAGAAAAAACCGCAAGTGGCGCTGTTGTTCAAGTGATAGAGAGCTAGTCTTGAGCAAAAGAAGCTCATGGACAGTGCCCAGGCCCTGAGTTCAAGCCTCAGGACTGGCACACACACACAAAAATTAGTATGAGGAATGATTTGACCAAGGTACATTTAACACATAAATAGTCATGTTAAATTAAAACCCTTTTATATAACTTTAAAGAATGTAAAATTTTTTAATTAAAAAATGAACCAAAGGTGAACATTCACTTTATGAAAGAAGATATATTTGAAATGGTATGGCCACATATAAAGATTTGCCACATTCCTGTCATTGAGGAAATACTAAAGCCACCATGAGATACCGACATACACCCACTAGCAAGGTTGTATGTCAAGCACTGGTGAGGGTGAGGAGCAGCTGGAATTCAAGCACTGCAGGTGGGAACATAAGATGGTAAAACTGCTTTACAAAGATTCGCGTCTACTTAACCAACCTTTGACCTAAGTGTTACCGGAGATTTTTCTTAAAAAGTCATTGAATACTCTTTAACAATTTTATTGTAACTTAATAAGTGATTCTATAAATCAGAATTGTAATTCTGAATGACCTGATAGAAAATGCAGTATGTAGCAAAATAGAAGATTCCATTAGTCTTTTACCCAGTATTTCCACTTATATCAACTTTTTCCTAAAGAGATCACTGGACATGAGTTTGGAAATAACCTAAAATAACCACCAATGAAACTGTGGTTTAAAAAGCTACATTGCATCTATGCAGTAGAGTCCTATATAACCTTTTAAAAAAATAATGCAGTATATGTATATTCTATATTAGTACTTCCATTCTTAGGTTTCCTAGGTATATATACCCAAAAGAAATGTCTGTGTTTACGTTATAGACTTAATATGAGAATACTGGTTACATTACTATTTATAGTAGCAAATGATCTCTGTGTGTCTTACCAGTACATTGCATAATTTGTATCTTATTTACACAAAGGTACCCTATGGCATTGAAAATGAAACTTTATTGCTCCTTGAGGTACAATGGATAAATAATAAGAGTCCAAGCTGGGCACCAGTGGCTCATGCCTATAATAGCTACTCAGGAGGCTGAGATCTGAGGATTGCAGTGCAAAGCCAGTCCCAGCAAGAAAATCTGTGAGACTCTTATCTCCAGTAAACCACCAGAAAACTGGAAGTGGCTCTGTGGCTCAAGTGGTAGAGTGCAAGCCTTCAGCTGAAATGCTGAGGGACAGTGCCCAGGTCCAGAGTTAAAGCCCCACGACCACCACCACCAACAACAAAAAAGAACAGTCTGCAGCAGGATGTATTTGCTATGAGTGTTTACATAAAGTTAAAAAAAAAAGCCCCACCACAGTAGCATAGAGTTTTACAAATTAGGCTTGTGGACATATATGAGGAAGAAAGTGGAGTATAGCTGAATTGAAGGTATCCAGAGACCAGGAATGTTTTACTCTCTTGTTTTTGATGTACTGGAGTTTGAACTCAGGACCCTGTTCTTTCTAGATAGGTGCTCTACCACTGAACCATGCCTCCTGCCCTTTTTCACTGATTTTTTTGGGGGGGTCCAGTTGTGGGGCCTGAACTCTGGGCCTGGGCGCTGTCCCTCAGCTCTTCAGCTCAAGGCTAGCGCTCTACCACTTGAGCCACAGCGCCACTTCCG